TCATTCTTTCTAAATATCAAATTCTCTTATAATTTAGAAACTATTATATATTATCCTTCAGTTTCACTTATTTGTGTCTAGTTTATGCTCTGGACTGGTAGCTTCTATTCTGGGAACACCAGCTGATGTCATCAAAAGCCGAATAATGAATCAACCAAGAGATAAACAAGGAAGGTAGATAGAAAGATTTCAGTATCTGTGTCTTTGAATGTCTGTAATAATATTGTTACTTTTTTATGCATGTATTCTTGATAGAAATATGTTTGTGTGTTTATGTGTTCAACCAGGAAATTGTTTTTATGCAATTACCTGCTCTTTGTCTTTTGGAAATGTACTATGCATTTGGGGAAATGAGCTAATTTACAATCATATTAGGTACACGTAGGTATTCATTATGGCTTTGTTATTTTCAAAAAGCTTTCAAACGAGTACTCTGCTGAGAATTTACAGAGCACTTTCTTCAGAAGTCTTTTGATTTATAGGTAACATGGAGAATTTGATTTGATATTAAATAGTATATGTTCTCTCTGGAAGAGATAAGGTGGAGCGAAACCCGAAGAAAAGACCAAGGATGGGATGAATGACAAGAGTCAGCCTTGAAAATATCCTTAACCTCAAAATAAGTGATCTAGATCTATGAACCACAAATATTATTTGTTCTAAATTTGCAGAAAATATATAACATATTTAAATTTATAAAATATTTAACTAATTCCTTAGACTATACATTCATTTTAAATTAATATATCCTTTTATACAATGCGATTAATAACACTTATTTTATTTATATCTCTATTTACAAAGAAGAAATTTAACGAAATTTTCTTACTTTCTTTTTAGGGGACTTTTGTATAAATCGTCTACTGATTGCTTGATTCAGGCGGTTCAAGGTGAAGGATTCATGAGTCTATATAAAGGCTTTTTACCATCTTGGCTGCGAATGGTAAAGTTAGGTTTTTTCCCCATTCCTTTGTTTTTCTTTGTATTTAAATTATTTTTAATCTGTAAATATCTTCTCCTTTTCCTTTTGGTTTTTGGCATGGCCCTGCACCAAATCAAGGTCCTTTCTTTCTTTTTTAAATCTCTCTTTTGGTGTTCTTTGTTTTCTTTCACATCTCCTCAGAATCTTATTAGCTTTGTTGGTAGATTAATGTAAACTAATTCAATTATGTCTATAAATTAATAGCTTGACATTCTGTTGTTATAAAGATAATGGATAGATTTTCTGCAACATAAAACCTTTAGTAGTCTATTTAGCCAAAATATAGTAGTTTGGAACAGGGGTATAGATTTCACACTAGAGACCATTCCTCTGAAAATTTTAATGTTTTAAAATATATTTGTTACTTTAATGACAAACGTTACACTACCCACTAATCCTTATTACCACAGAACTCTGCTTAGTAAGGAAGCATTACATCATTTTTATTTGGTTTAGATGTGAAGCGAACTAAAATGAAGGATTAGATAGACTAGTTTAAGTAACATAGATAATATAAAAACAAGGTAATCAAGTCTTTCGTAAGTTAGAGAATATTTAAAAGAATGGATGAGTTATGGGTTTAGAAATTCAAACAATGAAAAATTAATATAATAATATTAATTGAGCACCTACTCCATGCAAAGTCCTGTGCTGTAAAGGCTTGGCTTTGAGATGAACACGATAGTCTCAGCCCCTGCCCTAGTACTGGAGCTTATTATAGTTTAGGTTGACCACAGACGTTGAATAAGAAACATTAAGTGGTGAGTGTTATGGGGAGAGTGCATGGTGCTATGGAAACATAGAGCAGGAGAGTCACTATGACTTAGAATCAACTCAGTGGCAACTGGTTTAAATACAGCATAGGCTGGGAGATTAAGAAAGTCTCCCTGGAGAATGGACTTTTGAACTGAGATTTGAAGAATAAGTATGATTTAGCCAGGTAAGAAAGATAGGAATATTCTAGGCAGAGGGAATAAGGCAGACAAAAAATCATATGAGATCAAAGAACCAAAGAAAACCCAGCAGGCTGAGGCACAGACACTGGAGGACAGAGGAACAGGGTGAGGCAGAGACCAGATCAGGGAGGGCCCTATAAACCATAAGGGTGATTGAATGCTGCTGTAGAGTTTTAAACAGGACACTGGCTTGATGAAATTGTGTTTTTCGAAAGATCATTCTAGCTACCATGTAGGTTGGAAAAAGGGCAGGAGTACTTGTAATTGAGAGATAAGGGGGGCTTGAACTATAGTATGACAGTAGGGACAGAAGAAAATGGATTCAAAAAATATTCAGGAGGTAGAAAGGAGGCAGAAACATGATTGATTGGATGGGGATGGAAGAATGGTTGGAGAAGAAGAAGAAGTCAGCTTTACTCCCAGATTCCTGTTCTGAGCAACTGATGGTGATGTAGTTACCTAAAATGGGGATCATGTGCAGGGAAGAAGATTTTGGGGTAAAATAACAAGTTCAGTTTTAGCTATGTTAAGGTTTGGATACCCATAGGACATCCCAGTGGAGATGTCTAGACAACTACCTTAATCTTAGGAAATAATAAAGATCATATAGATCTTTACATTATCTACATATAGATGGTAATTAAAGCTATGGGAATAAATGATATCGCCAAGGGATAGTAGGTATCTATCTATTAACATGAAATTAATAGTCAAAGCACTTAGCACTATCTGATACAAATGTGTACCATACTTGAAAAGCATTATTTTGGTGTTCCTGATTATACCTTGAAATTGTATCAAAACTGAATATTTCTTATTAGAAAGGAAGATTTTCATTTAGCCTGCATATTAGTGCACTCCACAACCAGTCTGTCAGTTTGCTGTACATACCAATGATTGTGAAGATGGCGCAGAACCAGGCAGTGTTTCATTCTGTTGTACATAGGGTCCTCATGAGTCACAGCCAACTCAATGGCAACCAACAACCGCATTAGTGATCTGCCAGTGGCATGAACAAAACATTGTGGGAACACGGTGGAGTAAAAATGTCTGTAACTCTGAGAAGTTACAAAATGTTTCACAGAGGTAATTTTTGATTGGGCTTTGGAGGATTAGCAGGCGTTTACGAAGAAAAGCATCAGAGAGCAGCGTCAGCAGAGGCCTCAGGTCATGTGTGGGCTTGTACGTTGGAGAACTGCAGAAAAGTCAGTGTTGCTAGAGAATAGGTTCTCAGAGGGGAGATGGTCGGAAATAAGGCTAGAGAAGTAGTTAAGGACCAGGTTGAGAAGGATCTTGTGGGCCAAGCCAAGTAGTATAGGTGTAACCGTGTAGTCAGCAAGCAACTGTTTAAATGAGGGCAATGTGCCAAGATTTGTTTGGGGTCAAAATTACTTTGGCAGCAGTATAGAAGATACGCTGAAAGTTGGCACACCAGAAAGGAAGTCTTGGCAGTGGTCTAGCCAGTAGATAACTATAGAAGTGAAGAAAAGATAGAATATAGAACATTCATTGTTGACTCCACAGGATTTAATAACCAATTATATGTGATAGGTGAAGGAGGGAAGGAAAGAGATAAGACTTTTACATTTCTAGTGTGTGAGACCAAGAGGATGAGTGAGACCAGTGATGAACACAAAATCAGGGTCAGGAGGGAATGAGGGACAGGGTGAATATCCAAGTACAAACAAATGCTGGGATTATTTAATGAGACCCATTTTCTATATGATACTTGGGAAGTATAAATGACAAAAACAAAACAAAACAACTTAATAGGTGATAAGCACTGTGCTAAGCTCTTTACATACATACATACTTTTTTTAAAATCTTATAAGAAGCCAGTAAAACAGATGATGTTATCCTCATTTTTCAGATGAGAAAACCATGGCTCAAAGAGTTAACAAACTTGCTCAAATTCATATAACTAGAATATGACAGACCAGGAATTGACTGCATGTCTCTTCACCTCTAAACCCCATGCTTCAAACTAATACAGTATACTGAGTTGCACAAGGGCCTGAAGCTAGTTATAGAAGTTTTAAAAGAAAAGAGACAGTGCATGGTGATGATGAGGTATTGGTAAAGATAGGCTGGCTAACCACCAAAGATCACCAGTGTGGCATTTCTTTGTTGATCTGCCACAGTTCGTGGCCCTCAACTCAGAAACCTGACTTAGCATTTCCAAGTAAATCAGCCTTGCAAATACAATTTGGCTGAACTCACTGAAACTGATGGTCAAACCAGAACATTTTGTTCATTCACACTGAAAAGCTCACTTGGCAAGTGACCCAGACACTTAAGTGTTCTGGATAGCAAGTTTCTTCCTATATTCAAGCTATATGGGAAGCCAGGTTATAATCACAAGGTTGTTTCCTGAACATAGAATCACAAGAGAAAGAGCTTATTTATAAACTTAATATCTAAGAATATCAACCCAAAAGCCCTTATGTGTTCAGCAGCACAGTAATAGGCATGGAGAAGTATTCTGCTTTTTCCCAGCAGTTATAGCAACAGGCAGACCAGAGGAGACAACATGGGTTCATATGCACTTAGATTATTTACACTGGTCACAACTATGCCAGTGAGGGAATCAACAAGTAAATACAGTGTCCCACATGTGCTCCAGTACACAGGATGAGTGTATCTTGTTTATATACTGCCTGTGTTCCTTGGCTATATGATACCCCTCCTTAACTTCTATTCAAAATCTGCTAAACTCCATCCGAACCCCTCCCACAAGGCAGTTAATATAATCTTGCATTGTTCAGTTCCTGATTAATATTTCATTTTCATACGGTTAAATTGCTATAATTTAATTAACTTGAAGAAGAAGTCTGATTACTGAAGCAATCAGGAATGACTGCATAGTCCATTCTTAACCAAAGCCTCTGCCTCCCTGATCTGACTGAGTTATATCCTTGGCTCACTTCATTTTTGTTGCCACAAGATTAGTATCTTCACAACTTCGTATTCCTTACTTCATCTATGTCTTCATATATCTAACTAACCAAGATATGTTATAAGTCCATTATTTAGTAAATTCTATTGTTGAATAAACCTTAACCCCTTATAATTCCTTTAGGTATAGTTACACCTTCATTCAAGTTGAAGTCCAGTCTTTCTGACCTGGCAGCTCTTTCCCTACTTAATGTGAATTTTTATATCCATATTGTCATACATCAGTTGTTGGCTTTATGGCCTAACTCCCAAAGGACAATCTTTCATTTTCCTCAGTTTCAGGTTCTTAAGTGCCTCATTGTCTATGCTCCACGTACAAACTGCATGCAGAGGAGCCCAGTCTAGTCTATCCAGTCTTCATGAGTGCTATCCCTTGAGCTAGTATCATTCAGTAGAAAGAACCCTGGAATGGAAGCCAGAAGCTCTTGTTCTAGTTCACAACATGCTAATAGGCATTTGACCAATAAGCCTCAGTGTCCTCATCTGTAAAACAGAGATGTTAATACCTTTCCTATTTTAAATTGTTTAGAGAAATCCAGTGTGAAAATGCTTTGTAAATTATGAAGTGCTTTACCAAGTTGAAAAACCAAAATATTTGTTTTCAGCCTAAGTGGATTTAAAATGACTATGTTATTCAAAGGTGGTATGTATATGTATATATGTGTATATATGTAGAATATTCATAATTGCTTTGAAATATGCACTAACTTCTTTGGTTAATCTTTCAGACCCCTTGGTCACTGGTGTTCTGGCTTACTTATGAAAAAATCAGAGAGATGAGTGGAGTCAGTCCATTTTAAGTCCTTAAAGATGCAAACCAGTAATACAGTATTCAGTATCATTGAAATGTGGGCATCTGAAACACACACCCCGCATTATTTCTACCTCTTTAGAAAGACATCTTACTTCACAAAGACTGTGATTTATAGGGGGCAGCACTTTATTTTTCTCTGGAGATCCAAGTTCTCTTTGACTCCTCCTTTTGTCCAGAAGTGATCTGGTCATCTGGTCGGATCTCACAAGGCCACCCAGTGAGACCCAGCACAGCATTTTCTAAAGAAGAATACAACCCTGACCACTTTGACCTTTGGCAAGAAGGTTTGACCTTCTTTGAGATGCTATTCTTTGCTGAAGAGCCTGCTTAGAGGAGGAGTACAGGAGAGAGACAGCATCTCAGACCTGAAGTAGACAATAGGGATGTGGGAGAATATATACATAGTGTTTAAAAGAAATATATTTAACCTGTTATATCAGTATTTACATTGAAGTTTGATGATTCACTTTTCTGTTGTTGTTAAAGTGCACATATTGTAACTTAAAGGCAGGTGAATGAAACTTTATGAATAAACATTTTGAGTTTCCCCTAGTGTTGAAGGAAGTTGATGTATCTTTTCTTGCCAGGAGGATGAAAAAAATTAAATTTTGGATTTCAAGGAAGGAAGCTATTTTCTGCCAGTGCCCCATCGTTAGATCTGTGTTCACTGATTACCACTCTGCTGCGCGTCCAAGGACTTTCCCTGACAGCCACAGACTCCAAATCCTGATGAAAACAGAGAAGAGCATTTGCCTTGTTACATATCCTATTACAACCTGGATTTGTCACTAGCTCTCAAGAATCTCAATGTATAAGAATTGTAATTTATTTGATTAAGACTCAGCTGTATAGGTCCTTTTTATAAATGTTATCATCAGTCTTTTAGTGGTATTTTAAAAGCAAGGCTAATACAATGTCAGCCAGCTCTGGTATGCATCCTTTTTTATCTCCCCTGCTCTAACACTAACGGCCTTACAGAGATAATTCAGAAATCACACTAAAACTGCCTCTAGCCTGAATCTTACCCAGTTTGACAAAGCTTCCTAGCCTAAAAAGTGATAAGTGTAAAGTATCTGTGGTATACAGTTACGTTTCCAATCACTAAATCAAATCCCTTCTCTTATTTTAAAAAGTGAAAGATTTCTTCAAATCCACCTACACACCACCTGCTCCTCCAACGTCAGACAGTAGGCATTTGTGGATGGATGGTAGCAGTTAGGGGTAGTGGATGTGATTGTTGAAACATCAAAACTAAAAAAACTGAGATACAAGAAACCTAACCAAACAAAGTCCGTTGTGGTGGACATTGACGGTGTTGAACAAAAAAATGTTTACAAGTGCTCTGTGGTTGCACTAACGTATAATCACTGCCATTTTGGGGTGCATGGGGGAGAGTAGTGAACTTTAAAATATAATGTGATATACTAATACACGGTTGCTTATTTTGCTATTTGCAGAATGTGGAGTTTAACTCTTAAAATCTTTAGGGGGTCTACTTTTCCATTGCTTTTGTTAGTCTGTGTGAATTAAGTTATTAAACATATTTAAAATATATTATGTGCTTAAATTCCCAAGTGTCTGCACTGGAACCACTTTGGGGAAATTTTGTTTTTTTATGTTTTATAATCTTTAAAATTAAGACTGTATCAACATAATTCTATGAACTGGACCATAACAAAATTTATTTGGCTTAATTCTTTGGGGGGTTTGGGGTGAAAATACTGCTTAAGTTCTGAGACTATTCCTTGGTATCTGGATCAACATGAATAACTGTGGAATTCTTATCCTGAAATGGCTCCTTGGGATCATTTGGTTTAACATACTTATTTTGCACGTTAGAAAACTGAAGCCCAGAGAAATAGAGGTTGTCAAGGCCGTAAGTTATTTAGTAGCAGAACCAGGATAAAAACATAGGTCTCCTAATTACTATGATTATTACAACATGCAATTATTGTCCACCAAGTAAATGTCTTATGCCATCTTCACAATAACCCACTCTATTGCTCTGGAGTGTCTTCCAAAAACAAATTTTTCTTTATGGTACTTCTTGTATCATATAATCTAAATTGCCTCAAACATAAATTTTAGAACAGAATCACCATGCTTTAGATAGCCTGAACCTTCAGACATTCCATAAGTTGTCCATATCCTGTATATCCCATCATATTCATACTTTTCCAGTGAAGCCATATTCATTAATGTATATTGGACCTTTGCTTTATTTTTGCCAACTTGCAATTATCTTGTTCCTCTCCAAAATAATCACAGTAAATAAAAAGCAATAAAAATGTCGTAATTTTGTGTCCATACTCATAGATTTAACTATTTCAACCTCATTTTCTTGTTATAGTACTACTGTGATATTTCCCTACTTCTCTTCATCTCAGTATTGATAATATTTAACATCTAAGCTTCTTTTGCTCTGCTTTTACATGTTCTCAAATGATTTTTTTTCTCATTGGAAAAAAATTCCTATTTTTAATTACAGTTCTCTACTCTTTATATATACAAGCAAATTAGCATAGATAGCTAGATAGATAACATTTCTTAAAGTTGCTTTTGGTAGAAATAATATGTCTTCATCAAGTGTTCTGTTTAATTATAAGCTACTGGTGGGTAGGACAACGGTTAAGAGCTCAGCTGCTATCCAAAAGGTTGAATCTACCAGCCGCTCCTTGGAAACCCTATGAGGCGGTTCTACTCTGTCCTATAGGGTCGCTACAAGTCAGAATTGACTTGACAGCAATGAGTTTTTTTTGTACTCTCATTAGTAGCTTTGCTCTGCTGTTAGGTATTCAACAATAGTTGACTATAGCTACATATAATATGAGTCAATTAATTTTGTCTTCATTATTTTGAGTCTATTGTATAAGACTAGTCTGAAATTTCTCTTTTACTTGGCTAAGAAAAAAAATAAATTCAAGGAGATTTTAAATGTAAAATAATTTGCTGTTCCAGAGTCTTCAAATTTTTAAGCACACTCATTTATTTACAACTGATATAATTATGCATGCACTCTATTCATGAAAGCAGATTCCTTTAGGGCCTCCTATAGGGAAAATGCTTAATTGCATACTTGATGGTTAAAAAAAATTCTTTTAAATATATGACTCTCACTTTAATGGAACCGAGACTCATTAAAGATGTTTACCAAACAAATATATATTAAGGGCCAAATAATGTAGGGGAAAGGCTGAACCCTTCTTAAGTACTGACCGTTTTGTGGTTTGGGTTCTACTTCTAATAATAATATGACTAGGATCAAGTCCCTTCACTTCTCTGGATTGCTGCTGCTTTTTTTATAAGATATTGTGGGGCACCGTCAGGTCAGTTTTCAACTCACAGCAACCCCATGTGACAGAGTAGAACTGCCCTATAGGGTTTTCTAGGCTATCTACACGAAACAGATGGCCAGGTCTTTCTCCCACAGAGCCACTGGGTGAGTTCAAACCGCCAAACCTGGTTAGCAGCCGAGCCCTTAACTGTTAAGTCACCAGGGCTCCTATTTATAAGACAAAGGGACTGAACTGTAGAATCTTAACTTTTATATACTTACAGGGGGCTATTATATTGATGACATACTAAAAAATGGGATTTTTAAATTTTATTAAGATTTGGCTTTTTTCTGTGTTTAATTTCATTTCGTATATTTTAAGATAGGGACAAATTTGTCCAGACCTTAAAGTTTAATACAAGCTTGTTTTATGACTTAACTGTAGTATCTTGAAATCCATCCATAATAGGGTAGCAGAGTCATCTTCCTTCAAGCAGTTCTGGGCATGTCACCCAATATTCTTACCTTCAATTGCCCCTTCATACACACATGGTAAAAATTAAAATCTTTAATACCATATTCAAGACTCTCTTAATCTGACTCCAACCGTTTTTTTTTTTTTTTTAGCATTTGCGTTTCACTGCATACCTGCACCCAACTTTTTCCCTGCAGGTACTCTAAACTTGGCTACTTCTCCTGGTGTGTTCATGCTGTGCTCTACACCAGAATTTCTTCTCACCACCATGACCCATTCATTCATCTTCACCTTTTTTGGTCAAATCCTACTTGAATATCCTGAAAGATTACATATTACCTGCCCCCTGAAGCTTTCAACACCTTCAACACCTCCACATTCCTCTAGCACTTTATGAATCTCATACAGCAGTGAACACTTAATAGTTATTTATATACATGTCACCTTCCCCACACTAAAGGATAAACTGTTTGAAAGCAAGGACCTTGTAATAGATCTTCATATCCCTTACGACTTCAACTAGGAGACACTTAAAACATATCTGTTGAATTGAGCATTTTTTTTTTTGGTGGGGAGGAGAGAAAGAAAAACATTTATACGCACAGATTAAGCAGTATGTTGTTCTCCTCTTACCTTGGGAATAATCAGGTTGGGTCAATAACACTTCTGATTTCATAAGATCCTTTATTATGTGCTTAACTGCATTTTTTAAAAGACCGTATGTGTTTAAACACATGCCATTATGATAATTTTTAAGAAGTATTTATCAGTTTAATAGCTATTCCACAAAAATCTGGAATTTGGTAGTTTTAACAATACCAGATTTAAATAACATATATAAATTAGTTGATTCGTATTTACTAAATACGTGATGTGCTTACATTATTCGTCATTTTAGATTTTGTGTGGAAATTATATCACTGTTTTGGCCTGCACTGATACCTTACTAATGCACATTTTACCCACTCAAGTGCTTTATTATTTGAGTTTTGAGGAATACATGATTATTTTTCTCTCCCCATACTTTACCCCTAACAGGCTGCTGTGATTGTCAGCAGCAGCAGGAGCCACTTTGAAGGCTTGATAAAAGCAGATGAAGATGCTTAAAGATGTCTGTTTGCTGAAAATATCTGCTAACAAACAGGAATATATGTGAGTAAATATAGTGTGTCATTCTGATTTTTAAAATAAACATTTTAAAATGCCTAATAGGTTGTTACGGGTTTTGTTTTGTCCTGGAGTGGTTTTAAGTGCAAATGTTAATAACAAATTTAGAGATGATGTTTAAAATCTTAATCTTTACTTTTCACAGCTGAAATAGAAACTGGCTTAATTTAGGGTATCAAGTTTAATATTTGCATTAGCAGAAAGAATGCTCATACCTTGTCTTTATAATTTTTATTTTATGATTAAAAAAAAAAAACCAAACTAAACCCTTAGTGACCACTGCACCACCAGGTTACTCCCTATTAATCCAGTTCTGCTCTGAGTAAAACAGGACGGATAACTAAAGATTTGGAAACCCTGGTGGCGTAGTGGTTAAGAGCCACGGCTGCCAACTAACAGGTCGGCAGTTCATATCCACCAGGTGCTCCTTGGAAACCCTATGGGGCAGTTCTACTCTGTCCTATAGGGTCACTATGAGCTGGAATCAACTCCATGGCAATGGGTTTGGTTTTTGGTTTTTTCACTAAAGATTCTAGTGATGGACATGCTCACTGACTGAGGATAGAAGAAAAAATTAAAAATTAGAATTTAAAGATTGGAAAATTAGTCCATTCTTTTTGATACCATGTTGTACTTTGATTTCCATGATACTATTCTCTTGTGGCTCTCATATTTTTAATTACTCCTTTTCAGTTTCTATTGGCTTTTTCTTTGCTGTCAAATCTTTAAATGCTGGTTCTTTAAGGTTCTGTACTTGGCCTTCTTCTCAATTTTCATTCTATGAAGAGTCACACATTCCTGTTGTTTTGGCTACTACAATTAGGCTGGCAATTCCCAAACACGTTAAAAAATTAAAATGTTACCTTTGAGTCAGCCCGATTCATGGCAACCCCATGTGTTACAGAGTAGAAATGCTCCAGAGGG